CCTCGCCCGGCACCCGGCCGCGCTTGTTATAACTTCGAATAGCATACATTATATGAAGATATACGAGATCCGTCGATAGAATCGGGACAGACTATCATTCAATCGACATGGGGACGGACCTGCACGCTGGGCGGGCGGACCACTCCGTCGATCCCCTGAGCCATGGGGAGGCCAGGGGTTCCCTGGACGACCCGCCCCCCTACGAGTCCATCATCATGGGCACGGCCAGGGTGAGAGGCATGGTTTGGAGGGGCGATCTGTGCGCTGATCGATAGCCCGCCCTTGCTGGTAACCTCAACACAGAGACCACCACCACTGCTAATTCCACTTTGCAGGATGAGCCGGCCAGCAGGGGTCCTGATGTTGCTGGGAAGCAGGTGAGCTTTGAATGAAGGGGACTTCGGTGCTGGAGGTTGGCTGCTGAGGTCGATTCATCCATCCCAGCCGCCCCACCTCTTCGTCCTGTAGCCGCTGGAGGCAGCCATCACCGTCTTTGTCACCGATCCAGTTCGCCAGCTGGAGGGGGTGCGGGTGAGGCACATGCGAGCCTTGGGATGTGTGCGGGAAGCCTACCGCTGTGCGGAAGATATACGGTTTCGGAATTCGCTGGGCACTGCGCACAATGGTCCACCATTCTCTGTGCCAGTCCCCTTGCGTGAAGGTGATGTGCCCTTGGCCCTGATTCCTCACATGGAGCCCACCCACGCCACCTCACAGTCGTTCGTGTCGTACCGCGTCACGTACCGCCCTGCCTCAGGCCCCGGCTCCTCCGTCCACCCCGCGGGCGTCATCCGGCGCTTCAGCGACTTTGACTGGCTGAAGAAGCAGCTCCGGGCCAACCACCGGGGTGGGTAGGATGGCTTGGATGAGGGCTTTGTGGCAGTGTGATCACAGAGCAGCTTCACATGAGCGGAGCTCTGCAGGGCAACGCCAGGTTTTGGGGGTTTCCAAGCCCTCGCCATGGCCCAACCCTTGCTCTGCTGCGTGGCTGCCTTCCTGTCTTGTGGCTGCTCATCGTTGCCCTGCGCCCACTCAGCCTCGCATGCGCCCCCCTCCCTCTCATTGGCCCAGGCTGCATCGTCCCCCCCCTGCCCGAGAAGAACGTGGTCGAAAAGTACAAGCTGACCGACGAGTTCATCGAGCAGCGGCGCGCCGCGCTGGCGGTGTTCATGAATCGCCTGGCGGCGCACCCGGTGCTGCGACACTCCCCCGCCTTCCAGCTGTTCCTGGACGCCGACGAGGCGGGGTTTGCGCGCGAGGTGGCGCAGGGGGGCAAGGGGACGGTATGTTGGGCTCTCTGCATGTTGGGGTGCGCAAGGAAACACGGGCAACCGCCTGAGCGAGAGGTCCAGGCGGGCGCCAGCCTGCTCCCATTGGTTCCATGAAACCCTTCAACGCCGCATCGCCGCCTGCGTCACCTTTGCAGGCCATCGCGACCCGGATGTCCAGCGAGCTGGTCGCCTTCCAGCGGCAGCGCGCAGAGGAGCTCAGTGCGGTGCTGCGCCGCTTCGCCACACTGGTGGCCGCGGGGGAGGGCGCGGCTGCCAAGACCTGGGCGCCCCTGGCGCGGGGGGCAGACGCATAGGCGGGGGGCCGGGAATGCGGCTATAGGCAGATGGCTCCCTGGGTCAGGGACCTGCTTGCCCCTCGAATCGCCCGAGTGTGGAACACCACATCCCATCAAAGCATGCACTCCACCCACCCATCACCCCCTGCCTGCCGCCGATGCTGCTCTGGTCAGGGGAGTGACCTTTGCCCTCTCGCTTGTAACCGCCAAGAGGAACCCTCTGCCTCAATCCCATCAAGTGCGAGCCCTCCTCATGAATCTCTGATGACGAACCCTGGTGAATCTCGGATTCGCACAGCATGGGTTTCTACAGTACAGAAGCGCAGCAGAGTAGAGACCGAAGCCCGCAGTCAAGAGGGGCAGCACACCGAGCGCACAAGCATGCGCCGGCGGGCCGCCCCCTGAGCCAAAATGGAGTGTCGGAAGAATTATGGGTACGAGTACGGAGGGTGGGTTGGACCTTGCAGTGTATCTGCTCGGTGGGAAGAGGACACTGCGCGTGCGGCAGGGGGAAACAGCCCCATGCGCTCACAGCTTGGTACAATGGTACACGGGGTGGGGGCAGAAAGGGGGGATGCCACAGCCCGCGAGGTGCGGAGAGTGGGTTGCCAACAAGGGTTGGGGGCCACAGGAGGGCCAGCATGAATCAGCAGTCATCTCAGTGCTTAATGGGAAGGAGGGGGTGAGGAGGCGATTAGAGCACGGTGGGGCTGGGCGAGGCAGAGTGCTGCACCGCCCAGGGCCCATCAGGGGAGTTTGATGAGTGGGTGTGTATGTTACGCCAGCTGGACATGCCGCAGGGCAGGTCGATGAGCTGGAAATCGGGACAAGCCCCCCACTTCACGTCATGGATGAGGGGGTTGGAAGCTCCGGAACGCACGGGGGGAGAAGTCCCCAAAAATGTTGTGGTCTCTGGTGAGTCACGGAGGCAGCTTGCCTGGAGAGGGGGGTGAGGGAGGAGGCTATTCGAGTCATCTGCTACAACGCACAGGAAATGGCCCCACACATCTGCAGCAATGCAGCAGCGCAAGACCGTTCCCATACCACAAATGGTGGGGCAACAGACGGCAGGGGTCTGCATGTGTCTCTCCGACATCTGTCCATGGCTCCGTCCCCTCTCCCTAGTCAATCCCGACCCGTGGGCCATCTAGAAACCTGCGCCCTCGCACCTCCATCAACTGTCTGAGTTCGTCCAGGCCGTCGTCAACGTCGCAACAATGGATATCGAGAGCACGACTGCAGAAAAGGGGGTGGGGGGCGAGAGTGTTAAAAGATACTGGCGCACGCCTCGGCAGGAGAACCCCACGTGGACCTGTTGCGAAGCGGAGGCCGCGATCCCGCAAGGGCTACCTGGAGGAGTGGATCGGGGTGCAGGCGTTTTCATTCCTCAGGGACGAGGCGGGAGTGCGTGGGCGAGACGAGGGCGTGCTGCGGGGCTGCGGGCTTGCCTGGGGTGCCTGCGAGGAGGGAGGGAAGGTCCAGACAGTGAGACTTCCGGGGCGAGACCCTCGCACTCCTCTATGCTGGGCCGTCACACCCCTTCAAGTTCATCTTCCACCCTGCAGTATCCCACTCCCGAGTCCCACCTCCATGCCTGCCCAACGGCTCCGCATATCCGCAACCGCCCGGGAAAGACCACCGGGTTTGAGTCTCGCATACTCCTTTCCGTTCATAACAGCGTTCAGCATGCCATTTGAGGTAGCACGAGAGTAGAAGCGGAGGAAAAGATGTCTGTCGGTGAGTTCCAGAAGCGCCAGAATTTGGCGTCTCGAGAGAATTGAACGAACGAGACTCGATCGTGTTTGACCCTGGAAAGGCACGTGATTGGGCAACCCTAGTGAGCACCCCATTGCCACCAACTCCCGTCTCGGTTGTGCCCTATGGACTCATTATTGCTTGGTTCCTGCGGTTTTGATACCAGCCACATCATGCCGCGCCATTCTGCCGCCGCGCCGTCCCTGCAACCGCTGCCAGAGTTTCGGAAGCAGCTCGCACAGCGCCCACGGCACTGACCACCGACAGCCCTGTGCGAGCGTTCCGACTGGCCACCGTCAGCTGCGCCACGCTGGCACGCAGTGCCTCCAGGGTGCTTGGCAGCTCCGCCCGCTCGCTCAGTGCCGCTTGCACAGTGTCTGCGCTTGGGGTGTGGGGAGCGGCCGGGCTTGGAGGCAGCGCCAGTGAAGGAGGGCGAGGGCACCGAGATCGAAGTGGCCAGCCACGTGCGGCTCCCTCCACAAGAGTTAGGGGCAAGTCTGGGCCGTGCGAACCCTTGCTTGCACTCCAAGGACCCCACTCACCCTGGACAGCCGGGGCGGCTCGCCGCACGGCTGGCAGCACCACGTCGGTGAGGGTCGAGGTTGCGCTCTCCACCCCCTGACGGACTCCATGCTCTGCGGCAGTCACCGCCCGTGCAGAGGCGCGCAGCCCGTCCCCCAGGTCCTGGCTGCATTGCACGAGCGGGGGGCGGGGGGGGATTGAGACGCATGCCGGGGTAGTGAGCGGACATCAACCCATGGCTGCCTACCAGAAATGCACCCCCCACATCGCCTGCTGCCACCCAAATCAAGCCCTCCCAACCCCGGCTGTTGTGAGGCTTGAGGCTGCTAGCTTGATGACTAGTTCATGCGAGTGCGTATGGCACCCCTCTGGGCATGCCACAGCGGCCGCCAGCAACACACACACCTGAGCCCCGTCATCTCCTGCAAGCAGTCGGCCACCTCCAGGCCGGCAAGCCGCATGGCACCAGCTGTCTCCGGGAGCTCCGTCCGCATCGTCACGAGGAGAGCGGTGGCTGCTCGAGCAGTTTGTGACAGTGCCTGGCAGCGTGAAGCAGGACAGGGGGAGGATAGCGCTCGGTTACTTTGGACGGCTGCGCACTCGGACTCTTGCTCGGGCCCCCAGGCCTGTGACCCATCCAAAGGCTCACTAGGATGGCGGGGATGGCAGCGATCAGGGCGGCAGACACCGCGATGCCAACCAGGGAGGCAGCGATGGACAGCAGCAGCCGGCAGGGGTCCGCCCTCCAGCTGGCCAACAGTGCGGGTACGGCTGTGGTAGTGATGGCGCTACTGATCCCTGCTGCTGCTGCTGCTCCTGTTGAGCATGAGCGTCGCTGCCTCAAGCATGCTGCAAGGGTGAACCCCACACAGGCGTGCTCTGCTTGAGCACCATGTAATTGCCTTGGCACTGATTGCGTCACTATCACCACACCACGTCTTGAAGGCTGACGGCAGCAAATCGAAAGGCCACTGGGTGTTCGTCGGAGTGCTCGAAAGTGATCTCCCTGGGTTCCTGGGGACCTCAGGGAGGCCCCTGACGCGGCCATCGGGCTGTGGATGCCTATCGCCAGATCCCAGTGCACAATTCAATAGACTGTGTCATGAGGGGATAGCGGGGTGACGCAGGTTGCCCTGTGTCGTGCCGGTGTCCATTGAAGGACATCGAGGGGGTGGTGCAGTACCCCCCTGACGAGGCGCTTGGGAGAGGGGAGCGCGCAACTCCCGGTGGGACTCACACCGCGATTGTACAACGCATGCCTCTTCTGAACAGAATAGTGGACTTGGTTGAACGCCATCCTATTTCTCCAGTGCATTCGAGCCTCTTTCGCTCCCTGCCAGCCCGGTTCTATCTGCTGGCTTGGGCCATCACCGTAACCAGGGCGCTGTCCCCCAGTTGAGGCGTCCATCAGCATGGCCCGTAATGAGGAGAAAGCGCAGAGTATGCTCAATCGCCTGCTGGCGGCCAAGCAGGCTGATGCGAGGCCCGAGCGCCAGAAGCGGCCCTACCTGGCAACGGAGTGCACTGACTTGAACGAGGCGGACAAGTGGAGGCAGCAGATCCTGCGGGAAATCGGGAAGAAGGTCATGGAGATCCAGAATGCTGGACTGGGGGAGCACAGGTGCTGCCGGAAGGAGGGGTTTGCTGAGGGGGTGTGGAGTCGGCAATGCGCTTGGTGCCCAGCCATGGGTGCCCAGCCCGATGCCTAGGCCTTGCGGCCATGGAGAGCAGCCTTTGCCCCAGTGCATCCCCATTCGACCACACTCTCTCACACACACCGCATGCTTGCAGGATACGAGACCTGAATGACGAGATCAATAAGCTCATGAGAGAGAAGGTGCACTGGGAGCGCCGGATCGTGGAGCTCGGTGGCCCAGATTACTCTAAGACGGGACCAAGGGTGACGGACTCTGAGGGGCGTGTGATGGCCGAGACCAGCGGTCGAGGGGCCGGGTACCGTTACTTTGGCGCTGCCAAGAACCTGCCTGGCGTCAAGGAGCTGTTTGAGAAGGAGGCACCGCGCCAGGTGGGGAGATGGGTTGTTGCAAGGGGGAGGGCTATGGGTGCACTGCAGCTGGGTATGCAGGAGATAGGGCTGGAGCTCGTGCAAGTAAATCACGTCTCTTTCATGCAGGCACGTGCAGAGCGGTGCTGCTGCCGCGCATCCTGCATCGGTGGCATTCAGATATACTCCCTTCTCCCCGCCGATGCCTCATGACTGAATTGAACTTCCAGCCGCATTCGCCTCCGCACAGGTGCGGCGAACGCGCGCAGAGATGTACCGACTCATCAACGGCGACTACTATGGGTTCCGAGATGAGGATGATGGCGTGCTGCTGAAGGTGGAGGCAGAGGCGGAGGCCCAGCTGCGAGCCCAGGCAAGCCTGAGGGTGGGATGCAGTGATGCAGGACCCTGTGCAGATTGGAGCAATGGGGAGAGGTCATGCATTGCGCGTTGCCCCACTCCCATGCAGTGCCGCAAGTGGTCCTAGCGCGAACGCTCTCTGCTTGATGTCATCACCTTTCCTGACCTACCCCCCACTTTCCCGCTTGCCACAGGCCATCCAGGAGTGGGAGCAGCAGGAGGCGCAGCGGCAGTCCAGCGCCGCTGCCGCTCGGGGGACCTCCGCCACAGTGCAGGTGGACCCTGCTGAGTCAGCGCCCCAGTTTGTGGCCTACGTACCCCTGCCCGACGCCCAGGAGATCGAGGCACGTGTGCTGGAGGGGAAGAAGGCGGCACTGCTGAGCAAGTATGCCTCCGAGGCCCTGCAGGCAGAACAGGCCCAGGCCCGGCAGCTGTTGAACCGGGGATGAGTGTTGGGATGGCAGAGTCGCTGTAAGAAGGAACACAGCGCGCGCAGGGTCTGGGGGAGAGTAGGGCAGAGTGCCTCATTTAGGGGGTATCCCCCCGTGGGGGTGCCCTCATCATGTGGGGCGCGATGCAAGTATTGATCGCGACATGCACGGTGTCCACAGCAACAACAAAGAGGACTGCAGCCACATCTCATGTCCAAACATCATTCGGTCGCTGTTCCTGCAGAGCATCTCACCGTATCATCGGCACACCGGCGTGCGAACCAGCTCCGTCATGGCGGACGCCTCCAAACGCCCGCTTTCAGACGGGGAGGAGGCCGGACCCAGTGGTGCGCTGGTGGAGATCAAGAGGCAACGATTGGACGAGGGCGCCGTCGTTCCCGCTGGACCCGCCTCATCCCTGGCCACCAAGCCGCAGGTGAGCAGGGGTCCAGTGCTCCTATGTTGTCGCCTGCAGGCCCGGTCCCCCTTTCACCGCACACCTCCGTTGGCAATACACAGGGTCCATCCCGCACGTCTGCGCTTCTGGCGCCCACCATGCTGCTCACAGGCCACGCGGATCAGGTGTTCACCCTGAAGTTCAACCCGGACGGTGATGTCCTGGCCACTGGGAGCTACGACAAGACCATCCTCCTGTACCGCACCTACGGGGAGTGCGAGAACTTCCTGCAAATAAAAGGTGGGGTGCCGGGCTGCAGCTGGGAACGTAGGTGGGGGAGGGGAGAGGCTCGGGCAGGTGGTGGGAGCGCCTGATCGGCGCTGCAGGCCCCTCGCCCACGGGTCATGCCCCTTCTCGAACACCCCACATTGAATAGGGCACAAGAACGGGATCCTGGAGCTGCACTGGACGCCAGACGGCCTGAACCTGGTCTCCTGCTCTCCAGACCGCACTGTGCGGGCCTGGGACGCCAGCACCGGGCAGCAGGTGAAGAAGATGAGCGAGCACGGCGACATCGTCAACTCCTGCTGCCCCCTGAAGCGCGGCAGCCCGCTGCTTGTGTCGGGCTCCGACGACGGCACCGCCAAGGTGAGCCTGTCGTGGGAGTGGTGCTTGTTATGGGGGAAAGGGAAGGTTGGGGGCGTGGAGGGTTGACTGGGTGGGTGCATGTTGGGGGGTTCATGTGGGGGGTGGTTGGCGCCATGCACCCGCGTGCATCAGTCGCTCGGGAGCCCCGCAACTGCTTGATGCGGTGATTGCCGGATGCAGCGTGGGCACCACACTCGCTAGATTGCTGAAATGCCCTGGAAGTCCCACCACAGTCCCTCCCCCTCCCGCAATCCGCCAGGTCTGGGACCTGCGCAGCAAACGGTCGGTGGCCACCTTCACGGAAAAGTACCAGGTCCTGGCAGTGGCCTGGTCGGAGGCCGGGGACGCGGTGTACACGGGCGGCATCGAGAACGTGGTGCGCGCGTGGGATCTGCGCCGGGGCGCCCCCTCCCTGACCCTGGCGGGGCACGCCGACACGGTCACGGGCCTGGCGCCGTCGCCGGACGGCGCGCACCTGCTCAGTAACTCCATGGACGGCACGCTGCGGGTGTGGGATGTGCGGCCCTACGCGGCGCAGGACCGCTGCCAACGGGTGCTGACTGGGCATGTGCACAACTTCGAGCGCAACCTGCTGCGCTGCGCCTGGAGCCCCGATGGGGAGCGCGTGACCGCCGGGTCGGCGGACCGCATGGTCTACGTCTGGCGGTCTGCCGACGGCGCGGTCCAGTACGCGCTGCCGGGGCACGGCGGCAGCGTGAACGAGGTGGTGTTCCACCCCACCGAGCCCATCGTCGCCAGCGCCAGCAGCGACAAGACCGTGTACATGGGGGAGCTGGCAGCGTGAGGCAGGGATGGGAGGCGGCGGGCTGCCAGGGGACCCGGGGATCGGTGCACAAAGCAGTGGATGGAGCGAGGGGCATGTGTGCGATCGACACAGCTCAGTCACTGGCAATGAGTGGTGCTCAGAGCAGGTCTCTCCTCGTCCGAGCCTGCGGGAGGCAGTGCGCTGGCCGTGGGAGGGAGTGGCAAGGCACAGGCAAGCTTGACAGCCCGCAGCGATGTCCTCCAGTGGCAACTCTCTGGTGCCTGCCATCGCTTTGCTGCCTCCTCCTTGATGCCTGGCGGCTCTTGAGCCCCCTCATGCACTCCCCTCCCCTCCTCCAGACATCCTCCAGTCCCCCCCAAGCGCACACAGCATGTAATGACCTGACCTCACACCACTGTTTGCAAGCTCGAGCTCCTTCAAAAGGTGTCAAGCATGGAGCTGCACGGGACAACGCAATGCGCGGGGGTGGAGGTGCTCGGACGGCGAATCTCAGGGCGCGGTGCAGCAACCCGATTCCCACCACCTCCGGAATGCGTCAGTCGGCCGCGCCACCCCCCGCCGCTCCCCCAAGAGAACTGCTGGGCATCTCATGCAGGTCCAGGTCCAGGAACTGGTGCCGCAGCACAGGACCCAGCAGGTCTGGAGGCCAGTCCAGAGGGTTGGGGTTGGCGTGCAAGAAGGTGGCGGCCGCTGCCCTCGCCTGCTCTAAGAGAGCGGCATCGCGCGGCAGCGAGCACGCCTGGAAGTTTGGGGGTGGGGATTCAAAGGAAGGGGGGAATATGGCGACAGGGCTGGTGTTGACATCGCCGGCAAAGGGGAGCTTGCATCAGGACAGGACACCCCCCACCCCTCTCGAGCGGTGCAGACCCCAGCCTCTCCAATGTCCATTGGCGACATGGGGGTCCCTCTCGATGCACCTCCGCTCCCTTCCTCTCCCTCCCTGAGCCGGCCTTCCATGAGAATCCTGTCTCGGACCCGCCGAGGCCCTTTTCTGAGTTCCCAGCCCATCATTTCCCCACTCCCACCACCCCACCTTGAGGCTGGAGCCCAGCATGCGGCTCTGCCCGCTCTGGCGCCGCCCCAGTAGGTCTCCGGCGCCCCGCGCCTGAAAGTCCAGCTCCGCGACCTCGAAGCCGTCGCGCGCGGAGGCCAGCACCGCCAGCTTGTCGCGCGCCGCCGCAGTGGAGGCCAGGAGGTAGCAGGTGGCGGGGCGCGCACCGCGGCCCACCCGGCCCCTCAGCTGGTGCAGCTGGGCCAGGCCGAAGCGCTCCGCGGCCTCCACCACCATGACCGAGGCGGCGGGGACGTCCACGCCCACCTCCACCACCGTGGTGGAAAGCAGGACCGGGACCCGGCCGGAGGAGAAGGCGGAGAGCGCCGCCTCCTTCTCCTCGCCTGCAGGCGGAAGGTGATGAGAGGAGGGGGGACAGGGGCAGTTTGGGTGGCCAGGGGAGGGGCAACAGAGGCAGTGGACCCGGTGTGCTTGCGCCATAGGTCCCAGTCATGGCGCTGCTGCTTTGTTTTCCCTCCCCCAGGATGTCCCCACGATCTTCCCCCGGTGAGAGACATTCCCAATCCCACTCACCGGTCATTCGGCCGTGCAGGAGGCCGCACAGGTGCCCCGGCAGCACCCCCTCCCGCGTCAGCCTCGCGTGCTCCTCCGTCACGGCCCTGAGATCGTCGAAGCCCGGCGCCGCGCTTTCCTCCACCAGGGGGCAGATGATGTACGCCTGGCCCCCCGCCTCCACCTCCTCCAGGATGTGCTGGTAGACCTGTAACGTGTCCATGAGTATTCTGTTGTTCAAGGAGGGGTTGACATGTGTGTGTGGGGGCGGGGGGTATGCACTGGGGTCCCTTGATCCTCCTCCCCTCCTCCTTGCACGCATACGTACACAATCTCACCCCCGACACACATGCACACACCTGCCGGCGTGCGGCCTCATCACGCGAGTCCAGCACCCGCGTCGCTACCGGCCCCCGGCCCGGCGGCTGCTCGCGGATGACCACGTGGCTCAGGTCGCCGTGCATGAGCAGGGCCAGGGAGCGCGGGATGGGCGTGGCGCTCATGGACAGGACGTGGGGCGGCGGCCGCGCCTTACCGGCCAGCCGCCCGCGCTGCGCGACGCCGAAGCGGTGCTGCTCGTCGATTACTACCAGGCCCAGGCGCGCAAAGGCGGTGCCCTCGGAGAGCAGCGCGTGGGTACCCACCGCCAGCGCCACGCTGCCGTCGGCGAGGCCCGCGGCGGCGCGGGCGCGGTCGCCGCGCCGCGCCGATCCCGTCACCAGCGCCAGCCCGGGCAGGGCCAGCCCGGTCAGGCCCTCCTCGCTGGCGCGGCGGTTGACGCGGGCGAGGAGCGCGGCCAACCCGCGCGCGTGCTGCTCCGCCAGCACCTCAGTGGGCGCCATGAGAGCCACCTGGTACCCCGCCCCCGCCACGCCCAGTGCGGCCAGAAAGGCCACGATGGTCTTGCCGCAGCCAACGTCCCCCTGGAGCAGGCTGGCCATGGGCCGGCCGCGCCCCTCGCCCATCTCCGCCTGAATCTGGGCCAGCGCCGCGCACTGGCCCGCAGTCAGGCGGTATGGCAGCGCCCGCTGCGCCAGCGCCACCAGATCGTGGTCCTGGGTGGCCACCGCCAGCAGCGCGCCCTGGGGATCGTAGGCCGCCTCCCTGGCAGATGGGGAGGGTGGAGAGGGGGGGAGGGGGGAGGTTAAGCGGGGGGAAAGGTGAGGCAGAGGAGTCAGGTGGAATGAGCCAGGGTGTAAGGGAGAAGGCGGGAGAGAGGCAGGGGGAAGGCTGGCCGCCTCCCCTCCTCTCCAGACCAAAAGACATGGGATGAATACACCTCACCCCCTCGATACGAGTCACAGCCTTGGTGGACACTCCCTCCCCCTTATAACCTCCTCCACCTGAGCAGGGACCTCTGGAGGAGTAGGTTGAGCTGCAGCATGAAGAGCTCCTGGAAGGCCAGGCGCTCCCGCGCTGCGGCGATGTCTGCCTCGCTTCGTGGACAATGGATGCCCTGTGTTTGGTGCAGTTTTGGTGGGGTTGGGTCGGACATGTTGCTTCCAGTGCGCTCCAGCAGCAATCCCCCACCGCGATCGGCTGGCTGGCCCCTGTTCTGACGAGCGCAGCAGGCAAGGCTGCCACACGTTTCCCCCAGATCCAGGGGTCCAGGCTCCCGCCATCACACACACGGGCCGCAGCCGCACCCTACCTTGAGGGCCTCGAGGTAGGGCAGGGAGCCTGGGCCCTGGCTCCTCCTTACTCCCTCCGGCAGCGGATCCTCCCACTTTGCCTCTGCGGCCTGTGTGAGGGGAGGGGTTGAAGGCAGTGGCAGATGGTCGCGGGAGGCCCTGGCAGCAGGGCAGGGCCCTCCAGCCCCGCGCCCCCCCCCCGACGCACACGTGGGTATCCAGACTTCCACCCACCTCCAGGGTCTTGAGGGCCTTGGCCGCCGCCGCCGCCATGGCGTTGGACTTGAGGCTGCCCCGCGCGCTGTAGGTGGCCTGCACCAGCCCGCCCCGCATGCGCAGCTCCGCCACGCTCTCCTCACCGCCCGCCAGCACCTGGTGCCCCTGCTCGGTGAGGGACCATTCGTCGCGCTTCCCGGCCTTCCAGCTGCCGCTGGGCTGCACCACGCCCACCAGCACCGCCCCGTGGCCCACTAAGCCCCGCAGCTCTCTCAGCTCGTGGTAAAGAAAGCGCGCAGCGGGGCCGCCCCGCCACTTCTGCAGCAGGATGCGGGGCTGGCGCGTTGGGTCCCCGCCCTCGGTAAGTGCTGTTGCTGCGGGACCGCAGAGGTCCAGGTCGGGTTCATAGACCGCCTCCAGCACCGCGGCGCTCCTTAGCGGCTTGTGCTGCACGGTGGGGGGGACAGGGTCAGTGCTTGGGAGGAAGGACCGGCCGGCGGGTGGTGGCCAGGTCCAGCGTCACATGCACGACATTTGTGTCACACATGTGAGCACCATACATCCTCCCAAGTCTTCAAGGGGATAGGGAGGTCACCGGGTCCAGGACGTCCCCGCAGGTCCACCCTCCGACCCCAAGGCCCTTGCTCGCAGCACATGCAGGTCGCCCCCAAGCCCCTCACCGTGACGGAGGCGAGGCGCGCGGGCAGGCAGATGGGCTGCTCCCCATCCACGCCCGGCTCGGGGAGCCTGCCAAACTCGCACACCGTGAAGTCGCGGGGGTAGCACTCCACCAGGTCACGCAGCGTGTGCAGGCCCGCCTGCTCCAGAGCCCTGAAGCACGGAGGCGCGGGAAGAAAAGCGTGAAGGGGGGCTAGGACGTCGCTGGGTCACCGGAGAGATGGCTGGAGCTGGCGTGCTCTTTAAATCGGAGCAGTGAGTGCCTCGAGCAAGTGTCTTAAACAGGAATCACCATGCACCCAAATTCCCGGGACCCCAAAGATTCCGACCATGAACTCACATGAGCTGGCGCGGGGTGAACTTGTGCGGCGCTCGGATGCCGGCCAGCGGAGTGTCGAGAAAGCACGGCGCGGCGTCGGCACTGGCCAGGGCGGCGCGCCACAGGTCCATGCCCGCCATTGGCGGGGGTGTCGAGGCTACGCCTAGGTGCCCCTCGCCAGACTGAGCGCGCCGCACGCCATCCAGCGCCGACGCGAGATCAGTGTCGGGCCGGCCCGGGGCCCGGATGCTGGGATCGCCGCCGAGGAGGCTGCATTGCGCTGCACCCCCGCCGCCAAAGGCCTGCAAGCCCTGGCGAGCCGGCGCGGCGGGGGTGGAGGGGGCAGCGCCGCCGGGACGGCGGCTCCTCTTGGGCTGGCTGTCGCTTGCGGCGGCCGGCCAGGTCAGCACCTCCCTCGCCAGGCTGAGCGGCAGGTCGTGCAGCCTGGCGAACGACCCTGTGGGGCGTCAGGGTGGGAGAGCGAGGGTTGAGCCGGGCGCATATAAAAACATACTGGTTTCTGAAGAACGGAGCGATCGCCGTACCCAGCCCCACGCCGCTCGCCTTGCCATGCGTCGGCGTACTGCAGCAGGCCCTGCAGTACATCCCTGTTGGCCAGCACATCCTGCATCGCCCGGTGCGCGTTCTCCGGATCCTTGCCGGTGAAGTGTGTGTACAGCGTCTGTGAGATGAGGTCCAGGGGGTAGTCACAAGGGTGGCGGGAGTTGTTGGAGGCGAATAGGGATGGGCTCAGCTATGTACAGGGTCTGCAGCGGCCAGCCGAGGAGCCTGGGCTCAGCAGTGCTGTGTGAATCTGCCTGCAGATGACTCAACACCCCCCAACCATCCATTCCGCTCACCCCCAGCTTGAGATTGTCCAGCTTGGGAGGCCGCAGCACGTTTGCCAGCTTCAGGGTGTCCAGAATGAGAATACGTTCCAGCGGCGCCAGGCCCGAGCGGCGAGCCTGGTTTGCCAGCAGCAACAGGTCAAAGTCTGTTTGCAGAGGTTTGAAGGGGCATCTAGGTGTGAGAGACGAGGCATTACCCGCCACACAGTTCTCACTGCATTGGAATAAGCGACTTGGGAGGCCCGAGACTCTCACGATGCTCTGCATAAGGCTTCCCTGAGCCGACTGTGCAGGCAGGATGGTATACCCACAAAGATCTCCCCTCCCCTCCCCGCCACTCACCGGCCACCCTGTGGCCACAGATGAGGGGGATGGCGCCTGGCCCCAGTGCGGCAGTCTGCACTTGAATGAACTCCACTACTTGGGCATAGGCCTCCCTGCAGGGGTTAAAATGAGGCTTGATCTCCTGATACCCTCAGCGGAATACTCGCTGCCCCTCCTTCACCGGGACCCCCGTCAACCCAACTCACTCAAAGGTGGGCACGCCCGGGGCGCTCAGCATCGCGTTGCTCAGGTTGTTGACGGCTTCGGCCTGTCTCGACATGTTAGTGCCTGCCGGCAGCCGCACGAGGGTGGACAGCTGGCGACCGGTGCTGAGGCACAAGAGGGCTATCTCCGCCACACAGTCTTTGTATACACTGACGCCTGCGTCGGGGAGGGATCGCGGGAAGAAAGGGTGGCGCAGAGTTAAAGTGCATGACGAGCGCTGCCCCGTCTGGTCAATGCAGAAGCCTGGGCTCATTTGATTTGAAAAACCAAGGCACTTCCCCTCCAACAGGGGCCTGTTGGTCGTACAAGTATTCGCACCCCTGCACCCACGCTCGCACCGGTTGTTTCCAGGTCCAGCACGAACCCGGCGGTGTCGGTGTACTCCCCCCTCCCAGCATCTGCGGGGTGCCAGTGCTGCGATTGGGCGGCTGGGGCCACATCGGTGGCGCCAGGGCGCGGCCGTGCATCGTTTGGGGCCCGGGTCTCTGGCGACGGGTGCCTGGGCTCGGCCGCAAGTGGAACTGGCACGGCGGCCTCGCTCCCTGCCGGTGCTGGCGCTGCGGAATCGGACGCCGCGCTTGTCGCCGGGGGCTGGGCGACCTCCTGCAGCACCTCCACCAGCTCCTGCAGGGCCAGCCTTCGCATGCCCTCGTTCAGGTCGCCGTAGCGCCGGGCCGGGGCCAGGGCAGCCCGCAGTCGCCGACGCGGGCTCTCCTGCTCGACCCGGGCCGCCAGCTGGAGCAGGGAGTCGTGCAGGAAGTCGCTGAACACGCGGCGTCTGCCCTGCGCATTCACGAAGCCGCGGGCGCGCTCGAAGTCGATGCCGGACTGGAGGCTGGCCAGGATGTCCGGGAGGGGGGTGGCGCTGGACGGCACGCTGGGCTGCGCTGGGCGCGGCCCGGGCGGAGCGGCCTCCTGGCCGCTGAATGAGGCCGATTGGGCACCATGCAGTCGCCTCTGCATGCCCTGAGGACGCGGGTGGGGTATCCGGAGTGGGTCATGGGAACCGGCATGGCGGTGCAGTCCCCCTTGTGTTACAGAGCCCCTTTCCCGAAACGTCGCCACCCCCCGAACTGACCCTCCATGTCCCCGAAGGCCGGGAGCGGGGATGCACGGCACGCACACAGTCCGTCAGACTGCGCAGCAGCATCGCGCGGGACGCGCCACCTGCCCTGCCCGACGACGGTGTGGTGGGTGGCCCCTGTGGCCCACAGGTCATACGGTGCCTCCCACGCCCGCGCCTGGCACGCCCATGTGGGGGAGGGCGCCGATTTGGGAGGACCTCGTGGCGCTTTGCATGTGCACCTGCATAACCGAAGGCATCGGTCGCTCCCCGCCTCCCCTTTTGCTGTGGGGATATACTTTGAACGCCGATAGCTGCTCGGCATGCTGAGGATTGGCAGGAGAGTGAGGTGCCTTGTCCGACACCAACTCTTCCTGGCTCTGCATCTTCCCCAAGCTACCCATTATTCTGTGTTACAGGAGACACACTGTCCCCTCATTGTACATGTGTTGATGCCGTCAGGCGTTTGGAGGTGCAGGGGTCTGTGGAGGGGGTAACAACGACAGGAGTGCCTGTGGTCAGGTCTGTGAGCTGCTTGACAATTCTCCTGAACCCCCTCAACAGCAACACCCTTCTGCCCCCTCAGAGTCCGCCCGGGACGCCGGGCATGGGGAAGGCCGACGCGAACTCCTCGACCTCGGCCGCCAGCGCGGCCAGGTCAGCACGCTGGCCGCGCTGCGCCTCCAGGTGTGCCACGAAGTCGCGCAGCTTGCCCTCGCCCGGCGTGGAGGCGGCCAGGTCGCGCGCGATGCCGATGGCGGCGTGGAACATGTCGCCCACGCGCTCAAAATCGGTCTCGCGCAGGCCGCGCGTGGTCAGTGCGGGCGACCCGATGCGCACGCCGCCGGGGATGACCGCGGAGCGGTCGCCGGGCACGCTGTTCTTGTTCAACGTGATGTGGACGGCATCCAGCACGTGCTGCGCGCGCGCGCCGTCGATGCCCGCCGGCTTCAGGTCCACCAGGAGCAGGTGGTTGTCGGTGCCGCCGGAGACCAGCGTGTACCCCAGCTTCTGCAGCCTGTGCGGCCATGGGCGTGTGTGTGAAGGGGCGTGGGTAGGGCAGGAAACGATGTGTGTGTGGGGAGGGAAGGGTACCTTCAGTCAGGGTGTCGGGCCTTCCACCACCACCTCCAAACTCGGTTCAGACAAGCAGGCTTGAACTCGAAACCACCTGCTCACCTGGCTGCCAGGGCCCGCGCGTTGGCGACCACCTGCTGCTGGTAGGCGCGGAACTCGGGGCTGGCGGCCTGCTTCAGGGCCACGGCGAGCCCCGAGATGGTGTGGTTGTGTGGCCCGCCCTGGATGCCTGGGAACACGGCCTGGTTGATGGCCGCCTCCAGGGCCTTGCGGAAGAAGATGAGGCCGCCGCGCGGGCCGCGCAGGCTCTTGTGGCTGGTGGTGGTCACCACGTCGGCGTGGTGGAAGGGCGAGGCGACCACCCCCGCGGCCACCAGGCCCGAGATGTGGGCCATGTCGGCCATGAGGTAGGCCCCCGACGCGTCGGCGATGCCGCGCATGCGGGCGTAGTCGAAGTCGCGGGAGTAGGCCGAGGCGCCAGCGATTATCAGGCGCGGGCGGAAGAGGGCGGCGCTGCGCGCCAGGGCCTCGTAGTCCACCAGCCCCGTGGCCTCGTCCAGACGGTAGGGCATGGACTCGAAGTAGACGCTGGTGGCGCTGACGCGGCGCTTGGCCGTCCAGAAGCCGTGCGTCAGGTGGCCGCCGTGGGGCAGGTCCAGGCCCATGATGCGGTCGTGGGGCTTGAGCAGGGCGGTGTACACCGCAAAGTTGGCAGGGGAGCCGGAGTGGGGCTGCACGTTCACACCCCACTCTGCGGGGTCCAGGCCGAAGGCCGCCAGCGCGCGCGACTGGCACAGCGACTCGGCCTGGTCGATGAACTCGTTGCCACCGTAGTAGCGCGCGCCGGGCAGACCCTCGCTGTACTTGTTGGTCATGCAGGAGCCCACCGCCGCCATGACGGCGCGGGAGGTGAAGTTCTCGCTGGCGATCAGCTCCAGGCCCGTCACCTGGCGCCGCTTCTCCTGGCGGATGATGGAGGCGATCTCCGGGTCCACCTCGTCCAGGGACCCGTCCTCGAAAAACATGGCGCTGGCGTCCACTGCACGGCGAGGGAGGGGGGGTGAGGGGGGGATAGTGTGGGCATTGATGGGATGGATGTGCGAATCGGTGGGTGAGGTTGAGGATCGCAGGGCGCCAAGGAGGCGGGCTTTCGAGGGGCCCTGAAAACGCCATACATGGGAGAACATTCCATTGTCAGACGGGCATGTTCCAGAAAGGTGTGCCGATGCTGGGCATTGTGCCATTGCGTGGAACCATGCAGCCTGGGCCCTGGACCGAGGACATGCATGCATGCACGACGGAGGAGAATGCCGGGTTCCCTGCCCGCACACAGCACACGACAGCAGCAACCCGGAGTAGGATTATGTGCTCGGGCTGAACATTATTGGGAGCGGAGGGAATTGAAAACCGCACCGCTGCTTCCCCCATCCCTCACGCTCATAGCCGGGCGCACCCTTGCGCTCCAGGGTGGAGGCGCGGCAGGCCGTCCGGCTGGGAGCCTGAGCGACCAGGCGTGCCTGGTGAGGCCGGGACGCCAGGCGCTGGATGCCACGCTGGGCCGGCGCACCCTGTGGGCGAGCCGCGCTGGCGCCGAGCTGGGCGAAGGCGACGCCCTGCATTGTTGCCGGGAGCTGGGCTCGGGAGGAGGGAGGTGCGGGCAGGATTGGGACCGAGGGTCCCGGGGATGGGTTGTGAGCTGGACGCCGAATGCTGACCTTCCGCCCTCCAATCCAGTGCCACGTTCAAGAGCGCCTGTCGGATTGGTTGGGCAGAAGCGTTCTGGCGCCTGGACTTGAAACCTCACGTGCTCGGGCCTGGAAAGGAGGAATCCGTCCTCCCGAGAGCTGGCAATGTCCCGTTGTGCCCGCGCCCCCACCCAGTACTGTTGGCGTCGCGGCGCACCTTTTTAACCCTGGAGGCATTATCTTCCCCTTAGCACATACCTCTGTGATCACTCAACAGCTGTCTCAGATCCCTCCCTGCAGCACACGTGAATACGCAAGGCCAGAACCCAGACCCTTACCATGAGGACCTCGGTTTTGGTCTTCATCGCTTGCCTGGGAGCGGCCAGCGCCACCAGCTCCCTGCGCACTGCTGCCTTCCATGACGACGTCCTGATCATGTCCCAGGTGTGCGGGAGTGTGACGGCCGCCAGGCCTTGGCAGGGGTGTCGACTGATTTCGTAACGCTGGGGTGCCGCGCCGGCCGCGATGCAGAGCCTTGACTCGACACTCGGAACCTGGCACCGGTCGAGGCTTACACGACCCTCTAGAGCGACATGCCGTGCCTGCCAATGCTGTTTGCCCTGCACTTCCTGGGGGCATGGTGAGTCGGCTAGCCCTACCCCAAGGGTTGCCTTCCGGACCATCCGGGTCCCCGACGCCTTCGATCACACTGATCCTGTCAACCCTCCGTCTCGGTCCTGCGCTGACCCTTCCTCAGCCCAGTGATTCCAGCCGGAAACATCTCGCGGCCTCCCTGCAATGCCATCTGCAGTCCTGGCCGCCCAACCCTTCCATCCCTCACCCTCACCCCTTCCTTCCCCTCCTGCAGTCCGACCCACGGGCAGCATTCCAGCGCTGGGCCCGTTTCTACGGCAAGACCTACTCCCCGGCGGAGGAGAGCCAGCGTCTGGAGGCCTTCATGGCCAATGCCGCGCGCGTGGCGGCCCACCAGGCCCAGAACGCCGGCGCCTCCTACACCCTGGGCCTGAACGGCCACGCAGATCTGACCACCGAGGAGTTCCGCCTGCGCTACTTTGGCGAGCAGCCCAGGGACATGCTGGCGCTGCGCGCGGCCGCGACGGCCGCCGACAACGGTAAGAAGTCCAAGTACTTCCGTGACTGGCCGTACGGGCACACCGTCCCCCCCGCGGCCGTGGACTGGACGGCGGAGGGCATGATCACCCCGGTCAAGGACCAGCACGTGAACGGCTCCAAGTGCGGCTGCTGCTTCGCCTTCTCCGGCGTGGCCGGCATCGAGGCCGCCAACGCGCTCTACACCGGCGGCGACCTGGTCACGCTGTCCGAGCAGCAGATCGTGGACTGCGACGCCTACGACTGGGGCTGCGACGGCGGATCATTCGTGGACGTCATGCGCTACACCATCGACAACGGCGGCCTTGTCCCCGACGCCGAGTGGCCCTACGCGGCCAAGGAGACGGTGTGCCACCGGCGCCGCGAGAGGAAGCGCGCCGCTGTGACCATCGACTACATCGTCAACCTGCCGGAGGCCAACGAGACGGCGCTGGAGCAGGCGCTGGCGCACACCCCCACCAACGTGGCCATGTGCTGCGGTGACTTCATCGACGCCTGGCACCTGTACACCGGCGGCATCTTCAACGAGAGCGCGCACTGCACCGAGCCCATCGACCACGCGCTCCTGGCGGTGGGCTACGGCACCGAGCCCAACGGCGACAAGTTCTTCAAGATCAAAAACTCCTGGGGCGCGCACTGGGGCGAGGCCGGGTACATGAAGGTGCGGCGTGGCATCGCCGACCCCAAGGGCTCCAACGGCGTCGCCCTTATGCCCGGCTACGCGGTGAAGATCCGCGACAACCCGAGGCCTGATGCGGCGCTCGTGGTGAGTCGATCGCGGGGCAGTGGGGGTTTCTTGGTGCTGTTGGGGGGTGGAGGACTCGGAATGATTTTTTCCACGGGGTCCAAGACTGGCGTGGCCAGGAGCACCCGTGCATCCACTCCTGGAGGTAGATTGAGGGAGATTGACTGCATGGTCTGCCATGGGCGGCTGCTGTGTTCACATCAGCATCCATACCATAGCAGGGCTCGGCGAGGCCTGCTTGTGTCCACACACACCATGCGCCTGTTCACCCACCCCTCTGCCTCCCTCCACCCCCCAACAGGGCCGCAGGGCTGGTGGCATGATCACTCTCGCCGACATCTGAGCGCAATAAGTCTGGGAGGCGCCGTGCCCGGCAGCCCTGCTCCTGAAATGGACGGCGCAGCCGCCGGCCACATGGCCATCTGCCTGCCCACCCCAACACTGCCCGTGCACTGAACTGAATCAAGCATTGGAGCATGAACATGCTCAACCCCCCATGCTGCGGCTGGGTGTGTGCGGTGCCCACATGGGACCTCAAGCGCCCCATGGCCCCAGGGCACCTGTCCATTGCACATTCCCCCACAGGCCTGCGATGTGGGGGTGGCACCCCCCGCCACCTATACCCTGCTGTCAAATACTTATGCCGTGTTGGAAGCTTTTGCCCAGCACTACAGGGGGTGGGGAGGAGGTGGGGTGTTCTCCCAACCTCGGCATCTGGGAGTCAGCCATAGCACGCCCTCTTGCCCCACTCCCCCCTCCTGGTCCCTGCATGGACTTGTAAGAGCATCTGAAGATTACAGGGATCGGGGCAGTATGGCTATGGTGAAGGGAGTGAAGAGCAATCAGGTTGACCTGCAGCGTTATCGATCGGGCAAGGAGACGGCTCTGCGCCTGGTCTGCAGGCATGGCGTGCTGCCACCGCCTGGTTTGCAGGCATGGCGTGCTGCCACCGCCTGGACGACAAACGCGGCCACTGTCCCATGATGACGTCACCCTCGGCTGGGGCCTCCGTCCAGCAATCCTCCTTTGCACAGAGTTCAGGTGCCAAACACTCAGGCCGCCTGCCGAGCTCAGCGATCCCACCTCCCTCCTCCTCTCCCGGCCTTCATCCGGCCGCCGCCTCTTCCAAGGCCCTCATTTGCGCCTCAAAGTCCTCGTCCACGAGATCCCCAAGGTCCTCGTTCAAGCCCTCCAGCTCCTGACCAGGCAGATTAGTATTATGGGAGAGGAGTCAGCAGAATGACGAGGGGGAACAAAGCTGGGCACATACTGCCCCCGTCAATCACCGGAATGCAGCTCCCCAACATTCGCGTCTCCACACCTTCATCCACCCCGTGCATTCTCTCCATCGGCTCACCTCATCCAGCATCAAAAAGTCATCGGCATCTGCATCGGCTGGCGCCGTGCTTGCTGCCACATCCGACGCCACCTCGGCTCCTTGAAGGGATGTGTTTTCAGGCTTTCTTGGAGGTGGTGCCTCGGCACCAGCTGTCTCGCCACCTCGGGACGCAGGCTTTGCCACAGTGGGGGTGGGTACGGACTGTGCGGGCTCAGCAGCTTGCTCAGCGAGAGGTGACGCGCTTGGGGCCGCCGGCTTACGAGCCTGCATGAGTGGTCGTGGGGATGGCGGCACGTGTTTGGTCTGTCCAGCCTGATGACATGAACCCGGTTGCATCAGGATGGAATGCAGGGCCCAGCCATGACACAACACAGTATCTGGGTCCTGGCGCGCACCTGTTGCGCGGGTACAGCAGGGGTGACTCGCTGCGTCGGCTTGCTAGCCGGCTTGGCGGGTCCTGATGCAGGTGCGCTGCCCGCGGATGACTGTTGCTTTGCTCGCTTGGCCTGCGAGGTGATTGGACTCGCGTCAAGCTCTGGGAGGGAAGGCCCCCGTAGAAAGATCAGCTTGCACTTCCCTGGAGCACTGCCCCTTGCCAGCAGCCAGCGATGCTGGATGGAGAGTGCTTGTAACCTCAAGGCCAGCACAGCATGCCCCACCCGACACAGGGAGCCACGCAGGAGCGCCCAAAGCACCCGGGCCGCACCGCTCTGATCTCCTCGATGGTCTTCGGGCGTGGCGCGACGGGCTCGAGCGCCGGGGCCGGCTCGCGGCGCGATGCGTTGCCACCACCCACGCGCCCGCCGGCCGCGCCGTCCCCGGGCGGAGAGGGCGCCGCGTAGGCGCTCCTGGGCGCGCCAGGCGCCTCGGCGGGCGTCGCCCACCTTCGTCGCTCCGGGGACGGTGGGCTGGGCGACGCCGCGCCCTGCCTCGGGCCCCGGGCAGGCGGCGCGCCTTCCCTCACGACCTGCGTGGGGTTGTGAAGGTACTGCAAGATCAGAGCCTGGAAGACGGGTTCAAGCCAAGGCCGACCAATGAGGTCAAGGGAGGGAATCGCCAGCGCTTGCACAGCCCTCCGACGCAGCGCGCACGCGCAGGCCGCTCGATCACAAACGCGCCAGCCCTGCTCGCTGCCACCTTCCACAGGAGCACCCACCTTTGGTGCAGGGCGTGCGTCGGGGGAGGCCACGGATCCCGTGCGCGAGGCCATTGTCACCAAGCCATCGCTGCTCCTCTGCAGTAGATGGGACTGCGACCACGCTCAGCATGACCGGGCCACATTGTGCTCCTACATCCCATGGCTCCTGCAGACCACCGTCCCCGCCCCACTCCACCCCATAGACCTCGCACCTTCGATCCCAGTCTATCAGACAGGGAGCTGGCAGCTCCAGTCGGCGCATCGGGCCCCGACCCGCTCCTCTCCCTGCCCAGGCGCTGCTGCAGGCGGGGGGGGAGGGGCGAGGCGCCTTGGTCCCTGGCGCCCTGGCGGGGGCCCAGCCGCCCCGCCAGCGTGGGCGGGGCCCGGGGCGGACCCGGGGCGGGCGCGGCTAAGCCGCTCGCAGTGGCGGCGCCGCTCGCAGACGCGCCGCTCGCAGAGGTAGCGCCGCCGCGCCGCGCGTCGCCACTGGCTGCCGCTGGGACCGGGGACGTCCTGCCGCCCATGAGGCCGGCGGCAAGGCTGGTCCTCTGGGGCGCCGGCGGAACGGGGGCGAGGCGGACCTGCTGCCGCGTTGGGGCGGGGGCAGAGGCCAGCGTGGGGCCGGGTGCTGCGGGGGAGGGCGCTGCAGGGGAGGCACGGGCCACCTGCTGGAGATTGGGCGCAGTGGACGAGTTCAGCGCCTTCAGCGCATCAGCCTTTGCCTGCAGGGAATCGAGGGGTGGAAATTATGGCACTGACTGGGGCGGTCTGCCGCCAAGGGTCTCACTGAAGAATGAGAGGCGTGGCCGGCGCGGGACTTGGGTGCCATCACAACAGAATGCATGGTGGTGTAAGACCCTGCCGACACACCACCACCGACACCTCGGCATGCCTGGTCATGGCGAAAGGGGCACAGGGACCCCTTGCTGCACCAGCCCTGCAAGAAGAAGATGCAGTCCTGCTGTGCCTGCTGCGCCCTGTGCTGCTGGACCTTGCTCTGCTCAGGGTATCGGGTAGGGAGGGGTGGTGGGGACAAGCCGAGGTAACAACTTAGGGCAGACGCTGCCCGCATGGTGTGAGGCTGCAAAAGGTTTGCAACTCACTCAGGGGGCCCTTTTACAAATCAACATTAGCAACCGCACCTGGTCGTGTCGGAATGGACACAGGGCACCCTTGTTGCAGGTGCCCTGGATGTAGAAAATGCAGTCCTGGTTCTTCCTCGAGTCCAGCATCGGTGTGGTGGGTTGGAGTGGCGGAAGTACCTGTGCACGGACAAGCTAGGAATGCTCAATTTGTGGATCATAGACTTTTAAACATGCTTGACCTTGGCCCCGGCCCCACCGGCATCGCTGACACCCACCGTCCTGCTGGACACAGGCCGGTACGCAGTCTGCACCGCGGGGAAGTCGGGGGCGGGGTGGTCTCCGTGCCCCGCATGATCGCATCAAGCACCCCGTGAGGTTGGGCGGGCCGGACGTAGTTCGAAGGGAGCGTGCCCGTGTGGTGGAGGCGCTGCGTCCCCTCTGGCTGTAGGGCATCCGCCGGAGCCTGGAACCTGACAACACTGCACGCATGCACACCTGAGAAGCGAATCGCACCTGTCGCCTTTGGAAGGAGAAGTGTCAAAGATTCTGAGGGTCAACGGGATACGATGGAATCAGAGTTCTGATAAAAATGCTACGGCAGAGCGGAGGACACAGCTGGAAGTTTAACAGCTCGTCAGCTCTTGCCTGGCCAGCAGGGAGTAAAAGCCAAGATTCGGAGCGACGCAGAAAATATAGCATGGCCCTGCCTGGCGTTTGCCTTGTCGATCGGAATAGGGATTGCGGAGTAGGGAGTGTGTGCCCTGGAGTCCGCGCTGTCTCGTACTTTCCATCTCTCCTTGGCGATGCTGGTTGTTGCTACCCTCATCATGTCCTTGCTCGGCGAGCATTTTGTGTCACAGCAGCTGATCCAACGATTCCCATGCAGCGTGAGACTCCGCAGGGCAGCCTGCGCAGGGAAGGCTGCAACCACAGACTCGAAGCACAGCCTCAGTCTTGGAAGTCATAGGGATCCCTCCCGTTTGGATCTAGTGTAGCGACCCCTGAGCCCTGCCCCACCGCAGGGGGCACCAGGGGTCTCATCGGTTGTTGCTCAAACGCCTTCTTCACGGCGTCGGCCACCCTGACAAAGTTGCCCTTGTGCCCCGGGACCTGACCCACGACGTAGATCAGGTTGCGTGCGGCATCCACCTGGCAAGGGAGGCGATGAGGGTGAGGGGTGGGGGAAAGGCGCGGGATGCTTGCGAGGCGGGCAAAGGTGCACTGGCGTGAGGCGCGACTCTTGTTTCCTTCGCAGGGTCTCAAGTGGAGGGCCACAGTGGGCCCGATACCTGGCCGCCACCCCCTCGCGGCAAGCTGCTCACCTTGTAGACCAGGCAGTTCTGGACAGTCTTGCGCACGCCCCCCAACCGGCCGGGCAGCTTCTTCCCCTTCCAGACCTTGCCCGGGTCCTGGTTCCCGCCCGTCGACCCCGGCACGCGGTGCGCAAGGGAGGCGCCGTGGCTGGCCGGCTGGCCCTTGAACCCCCACCGCTTCATCACGCCCGCGAAGCCCTTGCCGATGCTGGTCCCGCAGACGTCCACGTACTGGCCCGGGACAAAAAGGTTGGCACGCAGCTCCGTGCCGGGTGGGAGCACGGCGTCGGGCGTCACCCTGAACTCTGCCAGCTTGCGCAGGATGGGGACGCCGGCCTTGGCAAAGTGGCCGCGCTGGGTGCCGGCGACCTGCTTCTCGCGCTTCGCGCCGATGCCCACCTGGAGGGCAGTGTACCCCTCGCGATCATCCGTCTTTGCTTGGACGACCTGCAGGCGGAAGGTGAAGAGGATGGAGCGTCTGCTTCCCATTCGATCCGCCTCTGGCAACTGGGGACCCATGCCCCGGGTTGGGTGACACCCAGCATAGGGCACACAGACTCCCAGCCCGCAACAGCACTCCCCTACCTTGCAGCCGTCGACCCAGAGGATGCTGATGGGAAGCCTCGCTCCCCAGTTGTCCCACTCCTGCGTCATGCCAACCTTCACGGCAAGCACGCCCGAGCGGCGTGTGCTTGCAGACATTCCGCGAGGTTGGGCCTCGGCCTCAGTGTGAGCCACTGCCTCCTGTGCCAGTCCGCGTACTGATGGCCGGGAGGTTAAGGCCAGTGAATTCCATCCGAGGAGCGACTGAGAAGCAGAGGGGTCGGTGCGAAGGGCGAAGGCCGCAGCTTTGCTCAGCGCCTGGGCCCCTCGCAGCCGCAACATGGCGGAGGAGTGCCGCGCGCACCAGGTAATCTATGTATCACGTATACCCTTGGATCATAAGGTGGCAATCGTCAGAGTCGGGGTGGAGATTTCTGCATGACACGACAGGAAATAAAACACTGGGGCTGGGATGGGCATGCTGCGCTCCAGACCTCACGCAGCACGCTCGACGTCGACATCACCTCCCGGTGGAAAGGGGGAGGCTCTGCCCCGCGGAGTTGCTGCCCTGCTAGTACCTCTGCCCTAATCCCAACGCTCTGGCATTATCTGTCACCAAAGACTCAGAAAGCCCCAAAATTTCCCAGTCCCTCATCGGACTCCAAGAGTTCGTACTCTCCTCTGCAAACCCTGCCGGAGCAGGCAAGGTTTTGTCGGTGCCACAGGCTTCCGACAGTCCGTCTTTCCCAGAATACCCCCATCGCGAATGTCCATTCCTCAAGCTCCGACCTTCGACACCAATGCGGTGAAGACTCGCTTCCCCGGCCGAGAGCTGACCCCTGGAAGGAACCACCACCCCCTCGACCAGCTTACCGCCGAGGAGATTGGCGCCGCTGCTGCAGCCTGCAGGGAGCGGGCCGCGAGCCTCGGGCTTCCTGTCCTCCGGTTCAATTCCATCTCTGCCAAGGTGGGTATGGTGTGGGTGTCGTACCCCATGTCACATGCCCTGGCTACCCGCGACCGGGGGACGAGGGTTTCGGACCGCCAGGCCGGCGCGACCCTTTTCAGCCCCGGACAATCACCCCATGACTCCACAGGAGCCCCACAAGTACAAGGTCTTGGCGTACCTCAAGGGTGGCGCAAAGCCCGCCCGCCAAGCGCTCTGTGTGGTGCAGGCCCCTCCCCGCAATTCCGTGTTCGAAGCGCTCGTGGATCTTGATGGCACCCGCGCCAGCATCCTGTCGTGGCAGGAGGTGCGCGGGCCTTTGGATGCTCTATACGAAATCCACTCGTCGTTCTCACCGTTGGGATGGGCCGTTTCGGGGGGACGGAAACCGCAAATGTCCGTGGCCACGTGACCGTGCGAGTCCCCCTCCCTAGAGCCCCTTACCGGGGGACCGCTTTAGCTGGAGGGGGTCTGCATGAGTCTCCGGGGCAGTCTGGCCTCATTATGCGTCGCGTTGTGCTCGTTGCCCTGATTTGCTCCCCACTGGTACAATGCAATATTGTACCGCCTGTCCCCCACCCCTTTGCTTCCCCGCCTTCGTCCCCATGCAGCTGGAGGGGGTGCAGCCTGCCGTCACCCTGGATGACGTCATCGACGTGGAGAAGATGGTGAAGGCCAACAAGGAGTTCCAGGACTTTGTCGCGCGCCGCTATGGCATCACCGACCTGGAGGAGGTGGCGGTGGACCCTTGGTATGTCGGGGGCATGGGATTAGGTCTTAGAACAGGAGGAGGGGTGGGAATGGGAGTGCAATCGCCTCGGTGTCCCTCAGATTCAGGCGATTGGGCTGCCCACACCGATCATTCCCAAGGCCTCGTTGACATCCCAAACTGTATGCCCTGCATCCCTCCCCCCGCGTCCACCCCCTCCGCTCTGCAGGTACAGCGGGCAGCGGTACGGCGCCACCGAGGGCCGCATCATCCAGTGCTTCCTGTACCAGCGCACGGGAAAGTACGACAACTTCTACGCCCACCCGCTGGACACGGTGCTCATGTACAACGCCTCCGTCGACCGCGTGTCCAAGTTCTGCGTGTACGGCGACGAGAACACCAAGCAGGACGTGAGTTGGAGTACAGGTCACGTGGGTGTGCAGGAGTTCGGATGGAATTTTCTATACTGACATTGCACTCGAACTGGCTGTCTGTGCAGATCCCTCTCCAGTTTGACGTTGCGTGCCCGTTCCCTCACCCAACTTCCCCGCCTCTTCCTGCCTTGCTCCCTTCCTTCAGGCCCCCCCTTCACACTCCCACCCATCGACCCCCCCCCCCTTTCCCCAGGTGCCGCTGGCCGCCGCCGACTTCTCCCGCCACGTGCTGGCCCGTCCCTTCCGCGGCGGCATGCGCCCGCTGCACGTGGTCCAGCCCGAGGGCCCCTCCTTCACGGTCAAGGGGTCTGCCGTGGAGTGGCAGAACTGGAGCTTCCAGGTGGGCTTCTCCTGGCGCGAGGGCCTGGTCCTGCACGGGCTGGGGTACAAGGACGGCGGTCGCGTGCGCCCCGTCATCTACCGCGCCGCGCTGGCGGAGATCATCGTGCCTTACGCGGAGCCGCGGCCGCCGTACGAGACCAAGTGCGCGTACGACATCATGGACTACGGCCTGGGCTTCTGCGCCAACTCCCTGGAGCTGGGCTGCGACTGCCTGGGCCATATCCACTACTTTGACGCATCGCTGAACGACGCGCTGGGGCGCGCGGTCACGCTGCGCAAGGCGGTGTGCATGCACGAGGAGGACGCGGGCATGGCCTGGAAGCACTACGACTACCGCACCGACGAGGTGGAGGTGCGGCGCATGCGCCGCCTGGTCCTCTCCTTCATCGCCACCATCGCCAACTACGAGTACGGCTTCTACTGGCACCTGTACCAGGACGGCAGCATCCAGTTCGAGGTGAAGCTGACGGGCATCGTGTCCACCTCCCCCCTGCATGCCGAGGAGGTCCTGCGCGGTCCCGACTACGGCAACCTGGTGGCCCCCGGGGTCAATGCCGCGCACCATCAGCACTTCTTCATCACCCGCCTCGACATGGCCGTGGACGACGAGGACGGCGGGCGGGGGCTGAGCGTGGTGGAGATGGAGGCGGTGCCCATGGGGCCGGGGGACGGGCCCAACCCCTTCAAGCACGGCTTCAAGGCCGTGGAGCGCGTCCTGGAGACGGAGCTGGCCGCGCAGCGAGACTGCGACG